TCAATGTCAATCACTCAATCTTAACAATATTTAGAGAAGTGACATTATGTCCTGATGTATTTCTTTACACACAGAAACCAGTTATTTTCAGAAGAAAATGAAATTTTACTTGGTGTCTAGATATTGATTTTCAAATATAGAAGAACAACATGACAGACAAAGGAGTTATTAGCACCATCTTAAGGCTCAAACACATATTCTATGCCAAAAATGATTTCACTGTATTTAAACAAAAATTCTTCCTTTCCTTCCAACTCTAAGACATTTTCCATCACGTTGAATTTCCAGGATCCCCCTCTAACAGGGGAGGAAAATTATGGGCAAACAAACAAGTGTCTACAAATGGATCAGAGCAAGTAATGAAAGCAGGAAATCTGCTTCTGGTGTAACATATGCATTTAAGATTTAAGTGGTGCAGGCAGCTCTTTTGTCTCCCATTTTCATTCAGCTTCCCTCTGCAGAGCGTTCAGAACAAGTTACATTCTGCAGTAACATGCTAGAAGGAAGTTACTTGTCTGCTCTTAATGATCATGTCTGTAATTTCCTACTTTTTCAATGGAACAAAACAGCAAGTGCCTGCCCATTACTTTTTACTGGTAAGAGGTTGTCCTGAGCAATGAGAGAAGCAAACAGAGAGTTGCAGGAGTGATTCATTTTATATTGCTGCACCCCACTGTCATTGTGGAGGAGGCATTGTGGGGAATTAAGGAAAGGGGCTCATTATGATGGGGAGAGAGACTAGCAAGGAAATGGGGAGAGAAAGCCGGCAAGGAAGTGTCTCTGTGTGAAAGAGAGAGCAGGGCAGGGCATGCAAGCATGAGTGAAAAGGTGTGCATTAGACAGTTGGGTGTGTGGGACAGCAAGAGTGAGTGGGAACATTCAAGAAATCAATCTTGCACATGTGCAAGAAAGAAGAGAGAATTCATGAAAGAGTAGAATGGTCAAGAAGAGTGAGTGGGAACATTCAAGAAATCAACCTTGCACATGTGCAAGAAAGAATTCATGAAAGAGAAGAATGGTCAAATACGTGCATGCACATATGCAATAAAGCAAGAAAGAGAGAGGGGAGGTACACAGGTATCAGAGAGCAAGAGAGATTGGGCAGTTGGACACTTGTATACACATTGAAAGTGTATGGATAGGTGGACAAGTCCACACATATAGGAGTTGGACATGTACATAATTGCAAGAGCAGATGTATGTGCAAGACTGACCAAGGGCGACTAAGCATTAAAAAAACCAGTATCTGCTATTGACCCAAAGTAGTGAGTAATAGAATCAGTTCTCTTTAAATATAACATTCTGAGCTCTGGGGGAAAAGGGTTATTGGCCCAGGAATTTTGGTGAACAGCTGGCCTCCTATAACCCAACTTACTTGTTTTAAAAATTTACATTCTTCCTTGCAAGAGCCTAATTGTGTCACAATGTGAATTAAAAACAGAACCATTAAAACATATTGGCAAAATTAAAGAGAAAGATTTTTAAGGAGAGGAAAAAAAAGCAAAATATTGCAGCACTTCAAAGACTAACAGATTTATTTCAGTGTGAGCTTTTGTGGCTCAACATCCACTCTTTCAGACACAGGGAGTGCAAATATATATCTCCTTATATACATATCCCTGTGGGGATATGACCAGGGTTGGACCAACAGTATATCCTGATGTAGTCCCGTGTGTGACTCTTGAGATCCACATGATGCACAGGGGAAGCCATTTTGCATTAGCTTTTCCTGCCATGGGCAAACTGTGGATTAGCACTGTGTGTGTGTTTGTGTGGACGCGCTAAATAACTAAAACATAATCTATGCCCACAAAAACCATCTTTCAATGCTTGTATGATTGTGTGTGTTGCAAACATCTGCAAAGATCTAAATCGAAACTGTGGTAGCAGGAATCACAGATGGCAATGTGAGTTCACATCTGTAACGGATTTTTAGGATGTGGCCCAGGTGAGGATATAGACAGTAGGTAAAATAACAATGGTTTGTTAACGTAGGAATGGGTCTATCAAGCTGTTAATTATTTGAGATTGCTGGATTTAGCCAGGTAATAAGCTATATGCTAAGGAGACTTGGCTGTCACACAACTGCTGGGACAGAGGTCAAAATCTATCAAGGAATACAACTATTTTATACAGAAAGCTGGGTTATAACTATGAGCCATGAAGTTTCATACCAAAATTAATATGTTGGTTCTTAAAGAGCCATACTATTTTGCCTTATTTTTCTCCTCTTCCCCCTCCCCTTTAATTTTGCCAACATGCTGAGAGACAAACTAATATGGCTTATTCTCTGGAAATTACCTAAAAACATACTGAGTTATAATATTAATATGCAGTTGTTTTATCATATTTTAAAAAGCACAAACTTAAAATAATTTAAAAATTAGTCAGAAAGATGTCTCGCAAACACTGTAACACACATAAGGCGACAAAAAAAGGCTTTAACCCCAAACTGATTATTGAGGCCTCCAACTAGCAGGTGGAACTCTTTCGAGTTTCTGCAGCCTTACAAATGCCAGACAAATACAAACATTAAAACCAAGTATTGCAACTGACTGGCAGCACATTTCAGATTGAAGACTGAATGCCTTTTATCAGCTTTGATTGATCGCCCATTTGCACCATACCTGGAAAAAAATGCCTGGTAATAGTGGTTCATGAATGGTAATCTCAAAAATAGAATACTGCAATGCTCGCTACACTGGGCTGACCTTGAAACAGTACGAAAGCTTCAGCAAGTCCAAAACGTCATGGCCAGACTTAATTCTGGGACTGGTAAATTTGACTGTATATCCCCAGTCCTATAAAGTCTTGAATGGTTTAGAACCTCAATACTTTGGGAACATCTCTCCCAGAAATCAGCTACCATTTCACTGGATCCTTTCAATCCAGGTTGCTAGAAGTGGCCACACCAAGACTAAAAAGGAGACAAGGAATCGGGTCTTTTCTGTGGTGGCTCCCAATATGTGGAATAAGCTCCAAATTTTGAGGTACAACTTGAGCCTTTCCTCTAGGCTTTCAGGAAATAAGTAAGGACAGAACTATACAAAGCTGTCTTCAGATGATGTTCATAATATTATTTTTTTCTTTTCTGGTGTTTTTCTTGTTTTACTTTAAGATCTAGATCACTGAACCCCCATACTGATGTATCACTACTGGGATTGTGTGGGGTTCTGATTCACAGATGCTCTTGTAAGAACTACTTTGTGTGTCATAAAAACAAAATCCTCTCATTCTGCACCTGTGTAAATAAGCCGGGGTGTGGGGAAAGGAAGATCAAGGGCGCTGGGATGACTACATGTTTTCGTTTTATTCTCATATTTTCAAAAGGGGGAAGAAAATAAAAGAAAGACTAATTGCAAGTCCTGGAAGTACAGACCATGTCATTTGTTGTCTTTTGAGGATGTTCATTTTCTGTCAAGGTGAGATCTCACTACTTTCTTTAAAAACAGTATGGAACAGAAGTACCAACCAGCTCAAAAATGAAAAGAACACAACTACTGTTAGATGAAATATCATTCCTTTCTCTGTGTTTAGAATCACAGAATTATTTATGTATTTATTTATTTATTTATTTATTCATTCATTCAATTTGTACCCCGCCTATCTGGTCAATACGAAGTTGGAAGGGGCATGCGTATAAGGCCATCAAGTCCAGCCCACTGCTCAAGGCAGGGGTCAAGTCAAAGAATATCTGCCAGGTGGTTGCCTAAATTTCTCTTGAATGCCTCCAGTGCTGGAGCACTCACCATTTCTCAAGGTAACTGATCAACATATCTTTTAACATCTAGCTATTCTATTTCCCCGAGAATAAGACCTAACCTGAAAATAAGCCCTAGTATGGTTTTCAGGATGCTCGTAATATAAGCCCTACCCCAAAAATTAGCTCTAGTTAAGTGAAACCCCGCCCTCCACCATTGTGCAGCAACCAGAAGATGACGACTGTAGAATAAAACATTCCCTGAAAATAAGCCCTAATGAGTTTTTGGAGCAAAAATTAATATAAGAACCCTGTCTTATTTTTGGGGAAACATGGTAGTTTAATTATTTTTAATATGTCCACCCATTCCTAAAATTTTAGAACTCATGTGTTAGTTTTTATATAAAAAATATCCTGTGGACAAGATTAAGATGCCTTTTCACTAAAATGCTTTTCCACTAACCTTCAGGACATAAACTTTCAAGGAATCTAATAAAGCGAATTCTGACATGAACTGATCTCATCTGTATCTCATGGTCAAATGTGCAAGTGGGAATAGAATTACTTCAGATTCTACATTTCTCTGAATTCTGTGATGAAGTTAAATAAATATATTTAAAATGCACAGGTTAAAATAATCGTTTTAGGAATGCATACTTGTGAGAAAATACATTTTAAAATGTATACTTAAAGCAAATTTTCTGCTACATTTTTCAATACTTGGGGATTAATACAGATGTTTTACATATCATAGTTAGGAATGATCACATGGGAGCATGATATAGACCAGAAAGAGACTGATTCACCAATCCTTCTCTCAGAAGTAGCATTTAAAAGGTCGTAAGAGGAAATAGAAGTGAAAAAGCCCAGTGTGCTCATAAACACTCCATACTCTCTGTCTACTACTAGTTTTGTTATCTATATCTGTTCATGGAATTTGTGTGCCAATTTATTAAGCAACCAAAGACTTAAAAATGGAGTCCATAATTATTAAAACATACTTTTTGATTAAAATACTTTCAGATTTTATAGTTTTGGTTTAATAATAATTTCATATTATGCCAACTTTAGGATTTAAATAGTAAATCAAGAAAGATATAAAAATATACATCATTTTATTCCTTTACAAAATAAGTTTCTTTTATTCTTTCAGAACACAGAATTAGTTGTACCCAATGTTTTTGGATGTGTACCTATGGAAAAATGTACCCAACCCCTTTTACTCACACATTTTACTTACCAATTCTGCACATTATAAGCAACATAAAAGCAATTTAATTGCTGTATTTTTGGAACTTACATCTTGATTCGACATATCCCAATAAGGCCTCTCTCCATAAGACATTACTTCCCACATAACTATTCCATAACTCCATACATCACTTGCTGATGTAAACTTGCGATACTGTATGGCTTCTGGAGCTGTCCACCTTACTGGTATTTTGCCACCCTATGGAAAATAAAGAAAGTTGCTGAAACAAACTAACATGGTGAAAATTAGGGAGAGGATTTCTACGACATTTCCCATTTTCTCTGCAAACTACATTTGAACCCACAAGCAAGTTTAAACATGTTAATGAATAATCTAACCTTTCTCACCAGAATACTCATAAATTATGTTCAAACCCACCCATAAGCTCAAACACAGGGTGCAGAAAAAAAATGACATGTCATATAAATCCTCCCCCTAGTGATACATTTACATTACAGGAAAATATTAGTGGGAAGACTATCACGTTTTAGCAACCTTAAAGGACAATTACAACTGAAAAGGAGCACCTATCTCATATTCGTGTGCTCTCAAAGGGCTTTGTGAAGTAGCTTTCCCATGCATGATCTGTAGAAGCATGTGGTAGATCACTTTAGATCAATTATTTTATATTTTCATTTCTGCCATTTGAAAACTGGCACATCATGGAAAGGACTGTAGCTGTAAGCTACCCCCGTCTCCAAGGAGCTAGTAATCCTCAATATGCTAGTTTTTTGCAGTTTAGAGAGCACCGGTCAGGAGTGGGCTGGACTGTGACTGAAGTTGCAATACAGTGCTTGCCAAGTAGCCAGCAAGAGTCAGTTCAGGTAGGGTGTTGAGCACTGCTGAAAAAAAATATCTAGATGCTATATGATATAATATGCTGAAATATTTGTCAAAGTATGCAAGTTATGGCCTTGTAATATGCATTTTCACTGTTTAGAGTACTTATTTTCATTTTGAACCAGAATACCTTTACTGAAACGTGAGTTATAAATAAAATACATATTTACTTGGAGGCTTTTCAACCATATATAATTAATAGGATGTGTTTCAAACCAATTGTCCTATTTTGTGCTTATTCAGTCAGAGAACTTCCTTACTGAGTTCTGATGGGAAGGTATTCTCACATCCTGGCAGCTGCATTCCAGCTTGTCTCTCTGTTCCCTTCCTAAGGGGAGGGGCAAGCAGAGCAGCTTTTCCACCTCAGCCTGCCATCTGAAAGTCTCATTATCATCCCATGCTGCTAACTCCCAGCATAAGGCTCACCTTCACAGAGGAAAAAGAAATTGGGGCTTGTGGAGAAAGAGTCACACAGCTGCCACAGCTATCTTTTCTGGAGGGGTAGCCACCTGTAATCTGGAGGTGAGACTGGTTGGCTGCTTCCCCTCCCACTTTCACACTCCACCTTTTAGGCTTAACAATGCTCAACAAACAGGAACCCAAAAATGGTCTGTCTGCATATATCAGAACAATTCGGGCTAATTTAAAATTCCAAGTGTTCCTGTTTACTGCCAGCATGCCCACTCACCCTCAATAAATATTCTTTAATTTCACATATTACAAAGGTCATACAGTGGTGCCTTGCAAGACAATTACCTCACAAAACAATTAATCTGCAAGACGATTAGTTTTTGCGATCGCTGTTGCGCTTCGCAAGACAATGGCTTCCTATGGATGATTTTCGCAAGGCGACGATTTTTCCACTGGAACACATTAAATGGATTTCAATGCATTCCAATGGGGAACCATGTTTCGCAAGACAGTGTTTTCGCAAGGCAGTGTTTTTCACGGGACAAATTAACATCGTCTTGCGAGGCACCACTGTATTCTAAGGAATATTAAGGAATACCAACATAGCATTAAAGGAATACCAACAGAGGTAGCAATGCCTCTGGAACGTTAACATCGTCTTGCGAGGCACCATTGTATTCTAAGGAATATTAAGGAATGCCAACATAGCATTAAAGGAATACCAACACAGGTAGCATTGCCTCTGGAACATCACATCAATGAAGAAAGTGGGCAGTGGGCAACAGTGCCCTTGGAGTCTTGAGCATACAACTTACTGTTGTAGTGTAGACAGCTTCTGGATCATCTTCTATAACTCTGGAGAGGCCAAAATCCGATACTTTACAAACAAGATTGCTATTGACCAGAATGTTTCGTGCTGCTAAGTCTCTGTGCACGTATCCCATGTCAGCCAAGTATCTCATTCCAGCAGCAATTCCTCTCAGCATTCCCACTAGCTGAATGACAGTAAATTGCCCATCATGTTTCTGAAGAGAAGAGAAGAGAAATACTCCTTGGTACAGTTGAGAGGGAAGGAGTTAAACATTTTCATCATCATTCTTTATTAGGAGAGATAAACATTTTTTATTTTTCCTCTACTTTAGGGTTCGCACGGTGTTGACATATATTTTAGCTACAACATATGTCTCAGTATCACAAAAGACTCACTTTTCATAGTCCACATTAAGTGGCAACCACAGTTTATACATAGTATCCTTAGTCTCTCCAATGAAATCCACCCACCATTTTATGCATCACACAGATATGAGGACTATTTGCACATAATGAGTATGTGTAAACCATAGTTCACACTCAACTTACACTGTGTGAGACTGAGAGTAGAATAGTGACCCGTAATCTAAATAAGAAATAGCATTTTGAGGGCAAAGAGGACAGCATGGAGTGACAAATTAATTTTATCTACTTTTTTTTTGGAAAATAAATTACTAGAAATCATACTCTTATACTCCAGAGGAGTGAGATCACATTACAGGAAGCAGCTGCTAGATAAATACCAGCCAAAGAGACTACACAATATTATCCTTTGAGATCCACTCCTCAGATTTTGCTTACTTATCTTAACATTCATAAAAACAGCCCTTTGGGCCTCTGATGCAATTTTGCAAACTGTCTACCAAAAACAGTCCATTGACATAATTTTTTTAAAAAAATGCTTCAGCTAAATGTTGATATAGACTGTTTTTTAAAAAATGCTTCCTTCATTTCTGAATTACTTAAACCTACACATTGTTCCTTTCTACAATGCTGCAAAAATGGTGTTTTTTTTGAAGCATGTATACATGATGACATGAGGTCCCAGTCTATGGTGGTAATCAAAACCACGGTATCTGCTCCACATTCGATCACTTAGATGGCTAAATACGTTTTTGTTTGATCTTGATGGCCTTCTAATTTCTAATCTGACTTTGCTGAGACCATTTAGAGATCTCTTAATGTTTGTCATGTTCTCATTTTACACTGAAAATGTTTTATTCTGCTAAATTGGTAGCATATATATATTATTTTTGAAGTGCTGTGTACGTTTCCCTCCGGCATTCACTCACCCTGAGAAAGGCATCCAGTGCTCCATTCTCCATGTATTCTATTACAATCATTACTGGCTTCCCTAAAAAAGAAATGTGAATAAGGGTGTGTGGACGAGGGGCAAGCAAAGAAGCATGTTTTGCTTAAAGAAACCATAATCTAAGCTGCTCCCCCTACCCAAATTCCCAATAAAACATATGTTTTTTCTTTGAACAGCTGAAACGTGAGTGCTCCTGAAACTTCCAGTGCAGTTACTGAGATCTAACAAGTCCTTAAATGTCTGCACGCAAATATGGCCATGATTCACAAAATTAAACCATAAAAATCAAGCTGTCAATGTGTTCTCCTGACTCCTGCTGTGTGAATAGGACTGTTGGAAAATGACACTAGAGGTAATATGAAAGGACATGAGAAACCTTATCTTCTTACATGGTCTTTGAGGCTAAACGAGACTAGGAAAATATATATTGCAAAGTTTTTCATCTTTTTGGTTAAGCACAAATTTCCTCAAGTTGTTGCATAAACTAAACTCTGCTTCACTTAGTTATACCTCTGGAGCAAAATATGTTAATCTACACAATCTGTCTTCTGAATCACTGATTGTGAAGAACCACCAACTGTAAACTCCAATTTAGAACTATCTCCATATGGTCTCGAGATCAGATTTGGTAGCTACTTACCTCTGGTAACAACCCCTTCTAAATGGACAACATTGGGGTGGTCAAATTGTCCCATGATGCTTGCCTCACAAAGAAAATCTCTCCTTTGCTTTTCTGTGTATCCAACCTTTAAGGTTTTAATGGCCACAGCAACATCTCTCTTGCCTGGAAGTTTTAGGCGCCCACTGCATACTTCACCAAACTCTCCTGAAACGGAAGACACATTACATCCTGGGGATCCAATCTAGTATAATCTAATACAATATCAAAAACAAGAGTATGAATTTCTTTAAAAATTCAGTGTTTTTCACTTATTTTTTATTCTGGATTTGAATCAAATCAACAACGGCAATAGTCCAGCCATACATAAGAGTTCTAGTATAAAGCATATAACCATATGTTTAGCCAACAAACTCCTATTTAAATCAAAGGCATTTTAAAAGTACTTTAGTAATATCAGGGCCCAAATGATAACAATTCTGCTATTCTACAGGCACCTAGGGCAGGTATAAAAATCTAAAGCATGTGACCTAAACAGAGAAAATAGGGCGACAGCCAAAGAGCAATGCCTGTGCATAATAGGTGATATCATAAATACATCAGCAGAAAAAGCAGAAAATTACAGTGTCCTCATCAAAAACAAACATTCACATCAACCACTGAAAAAATGGAAAGCTTTTACTTCACAGCTGTTTGTACAATAGCAAAGACACACACTGGCATTTCAATGCCACATGTCTGTCTTTCACTTACACTTATATTTGATATGAATGACAAAGGTATTTTTTCTTGCTTCTATCAGCAGACTGCAACAGGGCCATTTCCCTTTCCATCTTCTTTGGTAAATATGGTCCCTAAACTAAAATATAAATAGACCCAGTGCAAATGCTTATCTTGCTCCACCAAAGAGACTGGCACTTTTAGATTCCCTCTATGTTCCCCTGGATGGTTTTCCTTTTATAGTAAATAGGAAACCTTAGAAAATTAATTATTATTTTTTAAAAAAAAAATCTAACTGATTCAGAATTATGTTAATCTTCATGCAAACGTTACCTGAGATAGTTAATTCAAGGTCCCATCTAACTGTGCATCTTCAGCTACTATAGCAAGTATGAGCTGATCCACTGAATGCTTGCAGTCCATCTTAGAAAACAAACACTCCCACTGCACAATCTTTGAGCCACAGACCTGTACTTGTACTGACAAATCCTGAACTGTATATATTTACTCACAAGTAACATCAAGGACACACATATGCTAGACCCAACTTTGAACCTAGATGCCAACTCTGTCTTCAGATATTTCTGGTAACACCATTAGAAGATCTAACTGCAACACCCACAACATCGGAGGTACATCACTTGCTCATTATCACACGACTGAAATCCTAAGGCTTACCATAGTAAATTGCACTAGAGTAGGCTCCTTGAATCACTGGGGATTTGGTGAGTCAGCTCCTCCATAAATTCAACTACTCCAGTTGAGACTTGCTAAAGTAAACTGCAACTAGAGTAGGCCCATTTGAATCAATGAAACTTATCCCAGACTGATTCAAAGGACCTACTCTAGTGTAGCTTACTGTGCTAAATAACAAAATGCCAGTCAATGTGACATATGCCAGAGTTCTCAACCAGTAGTATACATATCACTAGAGGAATACAAAAGTTTAGAATGGGACACAGCAATTTCAGAACAATCGCTCTTATGTGTGTCTGTTATAACGACCAAAGCAGTAAAACTTCGTATTAACAGTATTATTTCAATGTTAGCTACCAATGCAGTTGTTATTTTTGCTTGTGTCCACTATCCACAATATCTCTACAATGTCAAGGTTCTGGTACAGCAGTGCATAGGCTGAAACCTTGTTGTGCAGCTCTGCATGTGCAACTTAAAGTTACACAAGTGGTAGGAAAAACTATGCTGAGGTAGAAATGATATTTATGAAGGGCTTCCACTGGCATGCTGTGCAATAGTAGTGCTGCAAATCACACAATCAATTGTGCAATCAATGCAGACTTCTGGGCACACAGTTCCTGCACAGTTCTGCGGCCATAACTTTACGTTACACCAATTTCAGTAGGATGTCAGGCATACTATGGTCTCATCTTGTGCAATCAATGCAGACTTCTGGGCACAGTTCCTGCACAGTTATGCAGCCATAACTTTACGTTACACCAACTTCAGTAGGATTTCAGCCATACTATGGTCTCATTAGGCACTGTAGTTATACATTTTTGTTCAAATGGAGGCCTCAAGGATCAATAAGAAATACCATTAATTTAAACAAAAAGAGCACACAGTAAGACAATATTTTATCAGGAAATGTCCAGAATTTGGTGTTTACAAAAATGCACCATTAATATATTTGAAGGCATAAATACTGTACAGCTGCACTACAGCAGCAGTGAGAGTAAGTGTTCTTTCTTTCTTCCCTCCTCCTCAGGCCTCAGAGCTGACTGAAAACTGGTTCCGGATGGTTTCTTGGCCTCCAAGACCTGGTTTTTCAGGTGTAGACAGAGGTGCTGTGGGCAGGGCACACTGCCTAGTATTTCACTGGAGATTATTTCTGCCAATGGAAATCAAGCAGTGGGTTCTGCCCTAAGTCTACAATCCTTTATACAGTGACGGGAGTAGTTACCACTGAACTGACTGGAAATTGCTTTCAATTACATTTGAACACGACTCATCTGTAAGTATTTCATATTTGCTCTTTCAAAGAAAGACCTACTGCACATAATTTACAGCACTTGTCATATTGCTGTAAGGGAGATTTAAAGAAAAAATTGGATGCCAAAATTATGGCATAAAACAACAGGAAATCAAAGAATGTTTCCTCCAGGAGTCCCAGGTATTTGATATTTTTCTTGCCCATGGATACTTAATTTCACTACATGAACTAGTGTAATAAAAGTGTCACAGATCTTATTAATGCAAACAAATGGAAACAGGTTTCCAGAGCATGAACAGCACTGCCTAAATATGTGGAAAAAAGGAAGAAAAGCAATGTAATGACAGTACAATTACCATCACTCACAAGAGCCAAGACAAGGACTTCTTGTAGCAATGAAATACATTTAAAATGGTATTGAAAATAATCCCCTAAGGAATGCTTGCTCTTTAAAACCCTAGATGTAACAAACATCACCTTTGTTTTAATGGTGAATCTTTTACATGCACACTTAAGTAAGCCTATCTCTGGCGTCTAATGAATCTATTTAGAAAAAAACATATAATCAGCAGGATTTGCATTCAAATATACTTCCTTCACTTAGTAAGATGTGAAAAAAGGAATGAAATTGTTTGCATTTGTAATATGCAATGATCATTTACTTTCCTAAGTGGAAACTGGCATACATATGATTGAGATCACTGCATTGTTTACTTATCTTACGCTTATAAGCGAGTGCCACTTCACTGTGCCACTATGGTAACAAGCAAAAGGCTCCATACACAAGATATATTTATTTGCCTGTCATTATGATGTATGAGTTTCGATCTGACTAAATGCAAGAATTGTATGAAGAAGCCACCACAGTCAACTTACCTGCACCAATCACGCGCTCTATTTTAATACAGGAAGCATCTAACTCCTTGGCGAATTGATGGACAGCTCTATTTGGATCTTCATAGGTTTCAGGGTCAATGTAGGTTTTGGTGCCTGGAAATTTAACTGTAATGATGTAAGAAAGCATGACTGTGATGAAGCAAAGCACATATTGTGCAGCCAACCCTGGAAATTCTGTATGCACAGCATTGCCTGAAAGACTGAAACTCTTGCCAGTGCAGGGGTGCTAACAGATGGATGGCTCCTAGCACTGCTACTTAAAAGACATTGGGGATACCTATTTTGTTTCCCCCTCTTTGACACTTTTTCAACAGAAAGGAAAAGGGAAAAAGTGGGCAGAAAACACGGGAGGCCTAGAAATGGAAGATGACCCCATATTATTCTATGAATAAGGGCCCTTGTATCACACAAGCCTCATTTAGAAGCATCCCGGCTCAAAATAATAGTCTAGAAGCACTTACACATTTCCTTACATTCGTGACCAGCAATCACTTTTACAGGATGACCAGTCTGAGGAAGACTCGATAATGGAGACACCAGCTTCTTCTTTCCCTAGGTCAGCAAGTTCTGATGCCATATTTACCACTCACTTCACTCCTCTGTTGCATCTGGGTTGCAAATGGGAGGGTCAGCTGGTGGTAGTCATTAGGCCCTGTTCCAGTTGCTGACCACTACCTCCCATTGATGCATTGTCCTGCCTCCAGTGGGACCACTGTTTAAAATCATATCATTGTTTTGAGTATCTGTCTTAACAACATCCTGTGAATTCAAGACTACATATTCCTGTGTTCTACACAAGATATATGTGCTAAGGACGTGGCATTTATTCTTCCACATAGTCTGTACTCATCTCTTTCCACATAAATAATATACACCACATTACTCATGGTTTTGGCATTCCTTCTTCTTACTTTATTATTTATCCAGGTTACTTCTGTGTCTGTACTGGGGATTGGTGAATAGGGAAATGTACACACCAGTATGCAGATTTTCCTACCTATCACCCCATATATAAGGATGCGATCAGTTGCACTGTTTCAAATGTAGGTTTACTTGTCATTTAATTGTAAGTACCTCCACATTTTGTAAAAATCAAGCAAACAACAGAATGCGAGATGCAGCACTTAAAAGAATGTTCTTCTCTAGCAAATACATTGACCTGGTCACCAGGACATAGGACAAAAAGAAGCTGCTTTGAAATACAGATTCCATTGCTTTGTTTAGAAATATCAAAATGAAATGTTCATATACAATGTATTAACCAGATATTAACATGTTCCAACTGCAACAACTGTAATTTTCAAAATTAACATCAGAAGAAAGCATTCCAAGTAATATGCAGGTCATCCTTTCAACAGACTGAGTATACTGAGAATCTGTACAAAATTATTTCAGATGTTCCCCAGAGGTTAATTTTGCTACACTGCACTTTGCAATAGGTTTAAAGCTAATGATAATGTTAATGGCTCAGCTTCTGAAGCTGATAAGTGCTCATTTTTTATTAACATCTGCAACCAGATGAGAAAGAGAGTAGGAAACAATAGGTCAGCCATCTATATTGTGCTTTCAAGTAAGCAGATGGGGAATGAGCTATCTTCTTGCACTTGCGATAACGGGCCTGGATTGGAGGTAACCTTGTGAATCTCAAATAGGTCTACAATGATACTTTATTCAAGCTGTCATAAAGCATTTTGACAGGCCGAAGCTTTCTTGGCATGCCAACATAAAGTAGTGCTGCCTCAGATTCAAAGACATTGTTAGAAGAGAATGGTAGGAGGAAACAAAATGTAAATTGGAATTGGTTAATTTAACTTGCCTATTGTATTTACACCCTTAAAAATGTAGCACTTGGAGTTATTGAAAGTTGAGGGGAATTGAAATGGAAGACTGGACAGTTTATTAAATCCACTGTTCTAAAAAGCTAGTTTGTTTCAGGTTAGAGAGAGAGAGAGAGTCCAGTCTGACATTTTAACGTACAAGAAAACTGCCTGGATATCGCAAAAACAAAATTGGCTGGTGACTACAACATGATGTTTAATTTCTCCCTGGAAACAATGATCATATCAAATTAGATACTATGCTTTTTATCAAGAGGCTCTGAAAAAGTAGTAAGATAAGAAGAACCATAAGTGTGGTAAAGCGTGATGGTAGGTAATATATTCTGACAGATTTTAAACTTCCCTTGATATTGGATAACTAGGTTTCTTGAAAGGAATACGATGAAGGAATGAACTGTTATTTTCAATTTCAGTTTCTGACTATTAAGACTAGGCTGTTAACCTATTTACATTTTCCCTGAAATGTATCATCTAAAAATAGTGCCTGCTGTGGAAAGGCATTCTTTGGCTATCACTTTTCTCTTTCCTTAGAGACACATGTTAAAGGAAAAAAAAACAATTAATTTCTTTACATTAGTAGGCTGGGAGGGTTTAACAGAACTCAAAAGTATGTTAGAAATATGAAGATGCTTACTGCAGTTGAAATGGTAGTATTTCAGTTTCATCTGACCTCTCAGAGTAGTTCCATTTCAATAGTATGACAGTTAGAATTGCCTTATTTTTAAAAGAGCACTCAGGATATGACAGACCAGGCTCCCTTTATTGTTTTTCTATTCACTCTGCAAAGCTTGACTAAAAATGGAATGTTTTCAATTTGTACTTTAATGCAATGGGAGGAATCCCAGCAGCCCTCACCTCACCCTGGGGTGGAAGGAAGAAGGTGGAGGGCCATTCTTTCCAGTAGTTCCACCTTCTTTTTGATCAGGGGGAGGGAAATGAAGGCAGAGGAATGGAGACAGTGGCAATTTCTGTCAATTACTGTGGGTGATAGTTGTAATTAGAGATGAGCATGAATCAGGAAAATGGTGATTCGTTTGGATGCACAATTTATCATCATGATGAATCGCAAATTACTTTTTTTTCCTGATGAACTGATCTGTTAATTCATTTTTTTACTTTAATGAATCAGGAAAATGGTGATTCATTTTGATGCACAATTTATCAAGGTTGATGAATCGCAAATTACTTTTTTTCTGATGAATTGATCTGTTAATTCATTTTTAACACTATACCCTCCCACAAACACCTTGAGACACCAAAAATGCAGGGAAGGTTCTGATGTCACTCCCCTCCAATTCCTACAAATTTGGTAAAGTTTGGGTTTCAGACATCTCAGTTATACACCCACAAAGGGAGACCCCAGGAAACTTCCCATCCAGACACCTAGAAACACCACATTCACAGAGAAACTCCCCCATCTCTCCTCTATAATTCCCCCTAAATTTGGTTTCAGACATCAAAGTTATATACAGTGGTGCCCCGCAAGACGGGCACTCCGCTTAACGACGAAACCGCTTGACGTCGATGTTTTTGCGATCGCAAAATGATGATCCCTATCGGGGATCATCGCTTTGCGATGATTGGTTACCTGCTTCGGGAACCGATTCTCGCAATGCGATGATTTTTTAACAGCTGATCAGCGGTTTCAAAATGGCCACCGAGTAAACAAAATGGTCACCCACTGTTTTCTGGGACAGATTCCTCACTGCACAGGCAGCGAAAATGGCCATGCTATGGAGGATCTTCGCTGGACGGTGAGTTTCCAGCCCATAGGAACACATTAACTGGGTTTTAATACGTTTCTATGGGCCTTTTAAAATCGCTTTACGGCACTTTCGTTCTACAGCGATTTCGCTGGAACGAATTAACGTCGTAATGCGAGGCACCACTGTACCCACAAAGTGGGTTCCCCCAGGCAAGTGCCCTTTAGCAGCTGGCGTGGGAAAGGTCAATATTCAGGGCATTGATTCATATGAATATCAATCAATGAATTAGCGATTTTTAAAATGAATTTGGTTTCATTTCATTTCATTAAATGTGGGACAATAATAAAAATAAAACTTATTTCTATAAGTGAAAAGACTGCTATTTGAAGGGAAAATGGAGTTTAAAATATGTGTGTCTAATTTTTAAGTAGCTTATATCATTCAACTAATCAGCTAATTAGATAACCAGATTTTTAAAAAGTAGATATGGAATGATTTAAACAGAAATAATTGTGAGAGGCATTTATAAGTTATTTTAATCAAATCAGATTACTACCAGAAATATCAGAACTGCTGTGGGAACTGCTAGGAGAAAGCACAAATAAAGAAACACATCAAAACAAAACAGTATGTTGAGACTGAAAGCATACTTTAAGAGATTATTTTCTGAAAGTATTTTTTTTTTGTTCTTCAAAGGAAGTCTGTACCACTTCATTCAATTACACCTTCTGCTTTCTGAACTGGTTGCAGAAATGAGCCAAATTTCTGGTTGCAGAAATTTAGCCAAGGTGATCCATGTGCAGAAACAGAAATTTGGGATTTGATCTTGTACACCCATGGGAGTTTAATGATGCCGCATACAATTTTAATTGCTTTTTGACCCTAGGATGTTAAACTTCCCTTGTTCATGCTATATCTGCCATCCTCCATTCCTTTGCAACTACAATCTTCTGTTAGCTCATATACAATTAACTGTGTTTTATGTACATAATAGCTACAATTCTGGGCACATATCTGAATGACATTCACTAAATACAATGGAGAAAACAAATAACTACACATGATCATATTTACACTATAAATCATATTTATACTTTAAATACTTAATAATTAGTTAATTAAAATCATTTATTTATGTTATGCAATAGTCTACAAATTTCTCTTTGTATGGTATAATTCTGATTTTAACTGTTGAAAATGTTGGTCAGTGTTTAATCATCTGACCGAAGTATTTTTTGAACAACGTATGGGTCAAATCAGAGAAACGTGTTTTGAAGGCAATCTTTAAAAACAAAACAAAACAAAATCCACCCGGTACTGTCTTAAGTCTAGGGAAAATGTAGCAATTCCATAACTGAGTATTTGCCAAAATAAACAGTAATAATAATTTTTAAAAACAAATAGCAATTGGGTGAAAAAAGTCACATATCATGATACTGTGAAACATCTATTGATTGAAGGAAAATGTGACTTGGGAAGCAATAACCATATATCATACAAAATACAGCAATAAAAACTGGTGTGAGCAAAGTTTATTTTATTATGTATCTTTTTAGAAGAGGTCATACTTCTTATACAGTCTTTAACTTCACATTTGCTGTCTACACAGCATTTTAAAATGTATTATAGTGTTCCTTAGCCATAGTGTTGCTTTAGTATTATCTTTATTCTATTACTGCCAGTCCCAATGCATTATAATTGGCCTGGAAATTCCTGGGGGAAATAATTGCAAAACACTTACAATGAAAGTAAAGTTCTTCATCTCCTTCTTGATCAGCTTTGCTATAGCCACAGTGCCTACAAACAAGGAAGTAAACAAGCAAATAAAAAATAGGAAAAGAAAGACCAGTTCCACCATGCAATAGAAATACACCACACTCTGATTTCCCTTTCTTAGTTGAAAAAGTACCATGCATATTTTGTGATGTCAAAAGGCTTTTGACCTAAAATGTCCCTATGAATTAATTACTTCCAAAATGTCTTCTCATTAGGTCTTGCACATTAGGGCCTATGGCTCCATTTTCTGAATCAGTCCATCTCATGTTACATCCTTTTCTTTTATTTCTGTCTAACGCCTTACATTATTGTGTTTCCAGTGAGTCTTGCCCTCTCATTATAGATCTGAAATAAAAAGTGAAGGCAATACACATACATTGCCAAGGTTGACAGTGCATCTCTCAGGAAGTATGCTTCTTTGTAGGTGGAGAGTAGTAAATTTCAGTGATCTCTTATATCTTGAGTACGTTTCTACTCCATGAACAGAAAATAATTCCATATCTACAGTATGTATTATGATTCCCCCCACATCTATTATGCCTGTCTGGAATTCTTTGGATTCCCTGGAGCCTCTGTTTCAGGAGTCATGATGGGATATGTGGAGCAGAGTCCTAGTGCACTTGCATGAGACTGTTTTTTGTTCTCTCCACCATCTCTCAAATCCTAGTTGTCTTGTCAGGTTTACAGTCTTGCTAAGGATGCTGTTAAATTTGACTCCTCAATTTGACATAAATACTATGATGGAGTCAATGAACCAGTACAAATAAACAATGGATCCAAGGGCAGAAGTTCACTTTGTTAAAAGCTAAGATGTTTTCACCAAACAATATTCTAGATTTTTTTTAAAAAAAATATCCAGTTTAAAACAATATAAAAGAGCCCTTATAGCTTCTACATTTGGATAACAAGATGTGGTCAGTATAAACAGCTGCCAAGCAATGCACACTGAATTCATATCAGCCCAAGCTGTCTCAAAATTTGAAAGAAGTACCTCCGTCCAATGATGAAGCCAAATACCATGAACACCAGAATGATAGTGCCTGCCACAGCTACCACAGCTATGATTATCACAGGATTCTGTTCACTGGAGACAGCAGTGGCTACCAATAGAAAGAGGGGGTATTAGAAAAAAAGAATATTAATTCCAAAATGCAGTTCATAGGCAGAATCTGGCAAGCTTCAGGGACTATTGGGTATACACTTCCCATCTTCAATGACTTAAAATGCAGGGTATGTACCACATGCAACTGAGTACAAAACAAATTTCCTAGTTTACTCTGATGAATGTTCTGTGGTGAACATGTGTTGTTTTGTCATCACTGCATCTTTATGCCAGGAAACTGTGTGTGCTTAATACTGGGTCAATCCTAGTCACTGCTGCTATAAATGACTACTGTTTTTATTGCTATCATTAAAAAAAACACATATGGTATCCCATTCTGAGATCCAGTGATATACAAACTAGAGATATTTTTATAAATACACAGATATTTTAGTTATTCCTTCTCCTCAAAAGCAGTTATTAGTTGTTTCCCAATACTCCAGGTGTGTTAAAGGAACAAACTGTAGAGGAATTTCATAGTTATCACTTTAGATGATTTTTATAATCTTTAATATACCAACTTTTGCTATTGGTTACCACTCAGTTTCCATTAGCAACCAGAGTGTATTAAGCAACTCAAGAGGATCATGTAAGGATTTCTGTATTAATAGATGCACTGAAGATAGGGCTAAATATGTGGTTACATTTTTCTAACCCATGTTAGCAACATTAAAATTCAGAACAGAATACTGATCTTTTACTGATGGTTCCCCCCACTAGTGAAAAAATGTTGGAGATATATAAATAATATCTGAGCTCTAACAAAGGCTTGGTTATCTCTTGTATCTGTAAATTATTTACTATGCTGAGATACGTAACCAAGATTCTGACCCGAGAAGCAAGAGATAGGGGAGGAAATATGTTACATGAGACAATAGTTACTTACACACACACACACACACACACACACACACAAAGAGAGAGAGAGGGGGGCTTAATATTAACTGTTTTGAAAAGTTAAAATAAAAAGCTTCCCCAGATAAGGAGAGGTTTCTTCCATGTATCAAGATACATTTAAAATCCAAACCAAACCAAACTGAACCGAACAACACCACACCAGTACATGCAAATTTTCAAAGCAGAATTACCAAAAACAATCTCATCTTTACATGAGTTTTAAGGATACAGGTGACTTAAAAGAACAAATAGGAAAGAGGGCTATGTGAAGGCTCTCTTCATCTTTGGACAGGTTTAGCTGGGCAGGGCAATCAGGGCTTGTGACCCCTACCACTCCTAGGAGCAGGTGGCTAGGTGGATCTCCTCAACCACAGGATGCCCAACACTTTGCTTGGTCATAACTGGTCTTTATTTGGGAAACAAAGCAGGTTACAGAGACATGGATGTTGCCCTGTTTCCCCTTTCCCAAGAGTCCACTGATGGCTTAGTTTCCCTGACTGGCCTCTTTCTGCTCACCGACTGTTCTTGGGGCTCAGTTACAGATACTAGCCATTTGCAGTCCATAGTCTGAAGCTGGAGTTGAGTTCTGAGCCCCAGCCACCCAATGCCTCACAGTGAAGGTTGGCAGGGTCAAGCTGTTAGAGGCTCCCTCGCTGTACCCAGGCCAACAAGAGTAACCACTGCTGCTGCCACTTCCAGCACCTATTCTGTGTTAGCATGGGCCTCCTTGGTTATGGCTCGACTCAGTGGCTAGATTGCTGTTGCAAGGATTCTGGTGGCGGTGGCGGCGGGAGAGATGGATTCTTCCCCTTCTTGTCTTCTGCTCGGGGTGAAGGTGACACATTCCCTGGTCCACAGATTGTGGAGGAGCAGGGGTTGGTTTTCTCTCAGGGTGCAGAAGATCAGGGATGGCTCCTCCCAAGCCTTGGACTAACCCTCCCACCCCATTCTCAATGAAGACGACCACCTCCCTCTTCCTCCCCCACCTTTAAGTGAGAGGGAGGGTTATTTTGACCTAGTTGTAGCCTCACCTTCCAAGTGCAGCTCACCTACCCTCTGGTTCCTAGCTGACTGCCCATTCCTGCCTTCTGCATCCCCAGGTTGCCCTGCTGCCAAAGTCTCTGGGTGTCCCCCTGCAAAGGGATCCTATGCCACTATGCTTTTAGACCAGCCTGGGCCCTAGTTGAGCAACCTTTCTGAGCACTGTAGATAAAATTTTTATACATCCCTTGATTGGGCATTTGGGCAGGCATGGTTATCTTCTTAGCAGATATCCTGTATAGCCAACTCAATATAGGTCAAGCAGTTATGTTCTGTTGTTTGTTACATCTTGCCAGGTAGACAAAATGGGGAAAAGGTGAAGGCCCCTCTATCAAGTAGTTTGGGATAAGGTTGATTAATTTCTTTCCTAAGCATGTAAAAAATAAACAATTGCAGAAATGGGAAGTTCTGGAATGAGATATCTGGGATGGCGAAGGCAGATGCCACACAGCAGGGCTAGAGATCTGCCACTTGTCTACTACCCACTGTTGACGAAGAGAGCTCTGGAGTCAGAGCTGGAACAAGATCAATGTAGATGTTTTGCCAAGTTAATTTCCAGGGGGCAATGCAGGTTAGGGTGTATTATTTTCCTCCCACACCTGATCTAGTTTTAAAACATGCCATTCTTGTTTAAGTAAACTGTGGTCTATTTTGAATTTGTAAAATCTGTATGCATCTCTTTTCTCGTTATAGACAGTCCTTTTGTGTACAGTGTCTTTTTCTTAGAGGGTTTTTTTTTTGCACATGATGATTAAAGTACCTCGAATATTTCTTACATTTGTAATTCAAATCCCAAACCTGTGTTGGCTAGAATGCACACTTCATCTGAAGCCAGATTTATCTGCCCCTGTATCAGCAATGAATCAATCATGGAAACAGGTCAAATCTTCTTTCCGTTCTAGCAAAATGTACTGGCCAAATACAGCTATTCTAGAAACTGGGTTATCTCACCCCAAATTCAATGGGAATTAAGAATATATCTTATTGTTATACAGTATTTGGGCAGTCACAGCAATCCAAAGCATGCTTCCTTAGGAACAACTGCCACTGAAGTCAACAGAGTTTACTTTGTTGACACATTCAAAGAAACAGGCTGCCTATCAACATTGTAAAAACTTTCCTTACTGGCAGTGTTCAGCAGAAATTACTTTAAATTATACTTTGGTTTGAAGGCACTTGTCAGATAAAACCGTATACCAATATGTCAATCATTTTTCAGTTTCCAAAAGATAATCAGAACAAATACAGCTGGCTAGGCATGGGGTTTTTGGAATTCATGTACTATATCCTCTGGAAATCTGCAGGAATTTCACCCTATCAGACTTCTGGGGACCTTAGCTCAAACTCACCACTTTTTAAAGAGAAATAATGGCTTTCCTCATACATAATAAGGAAGTGGAGAAGCAGAGCAAAATTCTATGGGAACTGCAAAGCATGATGGGTCTGGTAGTTTCCCTGCCTCTTATGCTCCATATGTAGTGCCTCTCAGAAAACTATCAGACCCATAATGCCTTGCAGTTCCCAGAGACCTTAGCTCTGCCTAGTCAATTTCTACATCATCATATCCAAGATAAGCCATTATTTCTCAGGTGAAAGTTATTACAAATACCTGAAAAGGTTTGGGTTCTTTTGGCTAAGTTCTCAGAAGTCTGGCTGGGGAATTCCATGAATTCCAAGCCTATCGTTGGCTATATCAATACGTCAATTTGGAACATCTACAAATATGGCAGTTTGGTTGTATCTTTAGGATTCATACATGGCAAACATTTATCAGTCAAACAGAATAGCATGTTAGGAAATAGAAAAAGTTCAAAAATGTACAGTTCCCCTTGTTTTGATGTAATCATTCTACTTTACCAACTAGAAATAAATTAGACTAGACATTAACTTTTAGAGGCTTAAATAACTATGTGTTGGTTAGCATCAAAGGCATATATTAAAGGTAATGTTTGGAAGTTGAGTCATGGCAACTGGACTTCTTTCTTATTAGGTTGAAACATTTCGCTACTCATCCAAGTAGTTTCTTCAATCTGAGGAGAGTTGGTAGAGACCCCTGATATATCCTCCATGTTGGTTTCACTTCTCCCTGGTCTGAATAGGCTGGTTAGATGGACAAAGGATGGGAGGGGGGAGGGTGAGTGAAAATGTATCTTGATATATTATATAGTGTACAATTGAGCCTCCTCTCCTTTCTAATTCTAGTGTAAACACAGACAGGCTATCATTTAACAACTATGTTAATTTCTGCAAGATATATATAAAAATTACCTGTGGCTTCCTCTAGTGTAGCAACATCTAGTCTAGGGCTATAATTTCCATAGCCAGCAGCAGTAAATGCACGAATCTGGAAAACATATACAGTTCCTGGTTTCAGATTATTCACTGAAGCAGAAGTGGCCCTGGTTTTCACTGTTGAATAAGTTCTCTCCCTTTGGTCCTGCAAACACAAATATATATGAATGCACAGTCTTTAAAATTCAGATTTCAGATTTGTTTTATATCAATAGTTCACAACTGGTCCTGACAGTCTATTTCAGTATTCTATAAAGCTTCCTCATATATGCACACTTTTCACATAAAGAACACTCTGTGGAGTATTACAACACAATGTAACTTCATCAAGGGGTTCTTAAAATAACATAAAAAGTAAATGGGAAGCACATGGTGCCACTCATAAAATTTGGGAGTTATTGCTCTTCTGTGTTTGTTTGATGATTTAGCTTCTATTACCTGATGATCAGCTGGATCAAATATTGTATTATCAGTCTATAAATAACACAGAAACCTGTATCTTGATATTTAATTCCTTTTTACTCTCCGAGGATTGTATGTTATATCATATTCCTTCAATAAAATCATAGCAATTATTAGTTTTAGGCAAGTAGATAAAACAAAACTAATTTCTCGTGACCCACTGTTTCTGGGTCCAAGAGCTTCAGTGCGAAAACTGAACTCCTCTGATGTCAACACCTGTCTCTAAAATGAAGCAAAGGTAGTAGCTGTTGTTGTTTAGTCGTTTAGTCATGTCCGACTCTTCGTGACCCCATGGACCAGAGCACGCCAGGCCCTCCTGTCTTCAGGTAGTAGCTACATGTGTGCATTTCTTTGAATGGGAATACCAGCAAGCAGAAATATTGTGAGTGCGGTTGAGTGTATATGCAAGACATGTTTGTCCAGCAAATTATTTCTAAAATGACCGTAGGCTACTATTTTAATACTCTATGCAAACATACAAATGGAATAAAACTAATAAAATCCAAGTCACAAGTGACTAGAGGAAATTATAGGGACCAACCTACTGGGATTTTATTCTATGCAAGCCTCGTTAAAATTAATGGGAACTATGCAAGAGCTGTACTTTGCACTTGCACATTTTCCATGAATTTCAATGGACCCTGCACAAAGAAACCTGTTTTCTCATATATCATTTTTTTCTTGTTAAATTACGACAAGACATCTGTCATTTAAAATAACATAGAAATGTCTTGTTATATTTCTGCCTAACTTTACTGTGAGTCAAACTGTTTTTAATAAGCAATGTAAAGAACAATTGGTTGTAGCTCTTTCAGTTGGTCCATTAAAAAAAAACTAATATATAGAACAACAGAAATAATGACAACAACAGTAAAAAGCAATAATTTGTGGAAGATGTTGAATGGATCCAAGAAGTGGGAAGAGAACACACTCCCATTTCAGATGCAGCACACCTTCCATGCACAAGAAAACCTTGTTCTGCAGGGCTGGGAAACCTTGATTTGACACTGAGGTCTGTATTGTGGAGAGGAAGAGAAAGGGGTTCCATTGCGCTGGTGCTAAAGTACAGTCCTACATTAGATTTAGGACACAGCATCATATTTCAACTGTGAATCTATTTTAGCTCTAGAGATATGACTTCACAGCATAGTCTAACTGAAATGCAGGCAATCTTGAGCTCTTGAAATGGAGCTAGAAATCGGAATACTGCAGACACTTAAAAGAGATCTCTGCACATTGAATATATTACAAAACTCTTCAGAACAGTGGTTCTCAACCAGTGAAACTATGCCACTTTCATACCAATTACTAAGATTTAACTCTTGTTCAGTCTCCGTGTCCTCCTCTGACTGATTTAGCTGCCACAGATTATCTAGTTACAAGCCTTTTGATGTACCAGCAGTAACTGTGGCTACCCAGTGCTTCTTCTCATCTTGTTCACTTTTCCCACCAACTTAATCATAAATATAAGAGAATGCCTGTAAACAAACAAATAACGTTCTGCAATGATGTATGTCTTTTGTTTCTGTTACAGTGGCGCTCAGGTTCTTTAACAGAACAGTTGGTGGTATATGTGAAATGAAAGAATGTGAAACATTGTTCTGAAGGACAGATTTTAACTTTTTTCCCCTTAAGGCCTGATATGTCTTTAAATTTTGCTGTGTAAAAATGTAATATATGAGGTAGTAATGACTACAGCAATTCAGTGTTGCAAATCGAAATCCCATAGGTGGTATTACCACAAAATTGCTCCAATATTTAAGGCAAATTTGCAAGTACACATATGTATGCTTAGGGCAAAAATTAAAAACATCAGTTATCTATTCTGGTCTAGGAGAATAGCACTAAATATACACAGTAAGCAAATGCAACTATAAAAATGTTCCATCTAGACAGCAAAGAATTTATTAAAGCTATCTAGGTCATCAGACACTATTTCTCCTTGAAAACCCAGTAAACAAGACGATGCCACTGCTAAATAAAGAAGACACTGAAGAAAAAAATGTACATAAGGCTGCTCCAAGTGGTATTTACCAAGAAACAAAGACACACAAAAGAAGAACCACAGATAACGCTGCTAACAAAATTTGTCAGAGAAAGAAGGCAGGAGTCTTGTGTCTTACTTCTAGATTTTTCATCAAAAAACCCTTCTCATGTACACTCTGTTGGTTGTCTCCCATTGCTTGGAATTGCTTTTTTTTTACACTACAACTCCCAGATGACAGAGGTATTCTGGGGGTTGGACTCCAAGAAAATAACAATTCCAGTTTCTGGTAATCTTCTACTACAGAACTAATCTGAAATCGAATACAGCAGAATTAATCCTAAATCTCTTTGTGGAACAACCTAGAATTCCTAAATCTAAGTGTTGCAATTTGAGCTGTCACTAATTAAATATTTAAGACATTAATCTCCTGCATTTCAGCCTAGTGATCAACGACATTTATATTAAAATGGGCCCTACTATACAAATATATGTGCTATTTTAAATTATTTTGCTCATTCCTTGTTATGATCCTTGTTATAAAGCCTCTTCCAAACAATTAAATAAATGTTCCCAAAACTCTCTTATCAACTGAATTTACTACTAGTGATAAATTAATTAGAGTTTATTTTATTAACCTGCTGATGACACTTTGAGAATGTTAATATAGCTTATACTGTATAAGAACAGGCATAACCTCTGATGTGGAAGACTTACTTTCTTTAACAAAGTATATAATATTATAGATATGGTGACAATGGAAGAACAAAGTTCAGAAAGTCTTTTTTCTTTTCTTTTCTTTAAGCACAAAGAAGCACAATGAAGAAAAGCAAGCAATGGTGTGGCCTCAAAAGGAAGGCATCCAACCTGATTACAACCTTTGTCCAATGCAGATCAGAAAGATATGATGGGGAGAGTGGTGCTTACTTTCTCATAATACTTGATTTCATATTCTGTGATGACTCCATTGGGATGCTCGGGTTCCTGCCAGGAAAGCTCCACGCTCCTTTGCAACACTTTCTCTTTCATTACGCCGCTAACTTGCGAGGGAGCTGTTTGGAGAAGACGTGTCAATAAACAATGAGCAAATATGTTGGATGTCTCCAATCAAGTGTCAGTACTGATCAGTCCCCTGCTGTGTTGCTCTCATTAAGGTAAGAGGAAGCACCTTTCCATAGTTCACAATTCAAAAGCCAATGAATATTCAAGCAGGGCCTTATTACTGCTCATAAACCATAATAGAAATTTAAATTAAAGCACAAACATCAAAAGGCAGCATTGTTCAATTTGGTGCAAAACAGCAACGGATGGGATCAGAATGACAATTAAGCAAATGAATTTTATTCAAGCCAGGAAAATATGTTTCCAGATTGCTCTCCTGTGGTAAATTAGTAGACCAAATATTTACAACATATTTCAACAACACTTATAAGAAAAATGAATGCATAAAAAAGACATAAATGAGGTTACACTTCAGGCAAATATTAGGTGTAATCCCAACCCATCATGTTCTTCCAATAACGTATGAATCTGAAAGCAAAGAGCATGCGGCACCGAAAAACAGTAAGCAGCTTTAGCTGCTATCCTGCTACCACTGTTGAGGGATTATAATGTATGACTAATACTTGGTTTAGAAAGGTGAACAAAGGCTACTTAGCTGTTGGTAAACCGACATTACCTGTGAAATATTGAACATACCACCCTACTGCCCTCTAGATAATGTAGTCCTGTCAATTCATCAAATCATTTTTAATTGGCTCAATTAAATTTGCTTTCCAAAATGCCTAAAATGCCTAAAAACTTCGGGGGGAAAAGAGCACATTTTATATTAACATTCCATTTGTATATGATACAACAGGCATCTATCAGGTATTGGCCAGTATTCTATTCCATAGCTCTGTTGGCACAATATGAGTGACACCAGGGGCATAATCATTTCACAACCATACACAATTTTTGCTTTGTACACTAGTTGCACACAATGATATTAAGTCATATACAAAAAGCAGGTCCAAAATGCAGCTGCCACAGGCTGATTACAGGTACCAGCAGATATAAACACATATCCCAAAGTCTTGGCACACCTTCACTGGCTACCTGCTCGTTTCCACAATTCAAGGTGCTGCTTATGACCTATAAAGCCAATAATGATTTAGGAACTTGATATTTGTTGGAATGTCTTTCCCACAATACAGCTACTTGTCCTACTTGCTCCTCACAGTCCTTGATGCTAAAAATTGTGCCACTAATGGAGGCCAAAAGAACTAAAGCCAGGAACTATGGTTGGTTGGTCTTGTTGTGGCCCCCTTCCCTCTGGAATAAGCTTTCTTCTTCAGATGCCTTCCCTCTCAGTTTTCAGGAAGTTAAATGATAGCATTTTAACTAATTGATCTGGGATGTTCAAATTTGTTTTAAACTGCAAGTTTTATTGAGTCGATAGAGACGGTTTTTTAATTCTATTTATTGAGTTTGTTTGATTCTTTGTGAACCACCCACAGAGTGTTCACAATGATGGGGTGGTAAAAAGTTGAACCAATAAATAAATAAATAAATAAATAATATTTAAGCAGAAATTCTATAATTTCACTGTTTGTAACAACTATGCCTGAATCTGACTAAATCCTTTAGAAACCAGAGATAATATTATTTTGGGAGACATACAGCTGTCACTTAAAGCATCCAATCTGCATCCAAAATGCACTATGTGACCTTGCTACTGCGCAAGTGTTTTCATATCCACAAAGAGGTCAATGAACTGGAGCAGGGCTGGGAAAACCAAAGCACAGTTGGGTTTGTAAAAAACACTAAGGCAGGCCTCTGCAGAATCTGGTTTAAACATAAGCAGTGGGCTTATGCATACTACCCAGTCTTTCCTTACAGACTTGTTCCACCAGCTGGAGCAACTAAACAAACACGTAATTCAGAAGCAAGAGAAACCTTAGTGTTATATCAGATTCAAGACCCCCGGACATCTACTCCTCTTTGAATGGGCCTGAATTGCAAACCAGAGTTTGTTCTTTGTTCCTTATTCCTGGCTTGTTTGGGAGTCAGGAGCAGATATGAATACAATCGTAGGGAATGCAGGATGAGAAAATATTGAATTATCCATCTTGTCCTGTGAGAAGATGATGTATTTTCTGGTTTCTAAGAAAGAGAATTACTATTCTTTAATGGTTCCAATAACACAAATAATGAAGTAACATAAATTGTGCTAAACGTAACTTTTGCATGGACCTTGAAGGCTCAGAAAGCACTGCAGCAATTGTTTGCCTTTTTTAACAAAACAGCTTGTGTTGCTTTGCTCTCAATACAAAGGAAGAATGGTCTTCCACTGAGAAAGTTCACTTGAATTATGGAGATGGGGGTGAGGGCAATACACCTTGTCTTGATTTAGCCTGGAAGTAAAGTGTCTCATCAGACTTGATAATTTCATGACTTCATCAAGTCAAGATAGCCTCAATTGGTGAAAATGAAGAATTTATATACAATTCAAAATATCACTATACCACATTCTACATCTTCTTGCTAATGAATTCTGGTCTGTTTAGCCACACCTATAGGTGGAAAAAGTGGAAGCAATGAGACAAGGTATATAAGCACCCTTTTCCTGAATTCTGGTTTGTCTGTTTGTTTATTTACATTTTTATTTGGCTAGCATGCTTTTCTATGATACAAAAAAGATAAAGAGCAGAAACAGTTAAACTTGCATATGATAAGAAGAGCTCTACTAGGGACTTGGAAAAAGATCATTCAACAGATTTACCAAAAAAACCCCAGTATGGGTATCACCTATAGAGGCCTTTACACAACCTAATCTTATGACAAAAGCAAAACTTCCAAGATTATATATATATCTGGGCTTAAAAGATAAAGTAATTAAGAAAATGTATGATTATTTGTTAGAAATTAAAATGCAAGATGAGATAGTCAAAGAATGTATGATTAAGTGGGCACAAAATACAGGACATGATATTGATGAATGGTTGCAAATACTATATGGCAAAATAATATAAAGCTCACAAAATTGTTTAATTTCAAGGAGAATATATATAAGATGTTTTATAGGTGGCATATGACTCCACAAAACCTATCAAAGATTTATACAGATGTATCAAATGTTTGTTGGAAGTGTGAAGCACATGAGGGAAGTTTTTATCATATGTGGTGGACTTGTAGAGTAGTGAAACAATTTTGAATAGGTGTACATACTTTGTAACAAAAATATTGCTTTGTAAGCTTCCACTAACCCCAAAACTGTTTCTATTCAGTATTATACCAGATAATATAGATAAGACAAAGAACTACTTAGTTATATACACAGTCACTGCAGCCAGAATTATTTATGCCAAGAACTGGAAGAAATTTTTGATACTGGAACAAGAGGAATTTTTGAGAAGATACGCGAAGAAGCAGAAATGGATATCTTATCAGAAGTGCTGAAGGACTGTCCAATACAAAAGGCAACTGAACGATGGGATTTATTATATAAATGGCTCGAATCACCAGATAGTACTGGAATAATATAGATTAAAACTAGGATGTAAATGCAAGTTATAAACTGGATGGTAATCATATAGTAGAAAAGCGGAGTTGAGTTGATAAGGCAATATGAATAGATTAGATGGCAGTACATTTTGTGTTCCCCTCCCCCTACTTCCCCCCCATATCCCCCCTTTACCTTCTGTATCCCCTACCTTATCCTAAATTGTTAATAAATAAATAAATAAATAAATAAATAAATAAATAAATAAATAAATAAATAAATAAATAGAAGCAGAACTATGAGGCTCTCAACACGCTGGTTGAAAGAAACTGAAAGGGAAGCTTTAGTGCCAAGGTACTTATATGACGGGGGAGGGGCCTTATTCTAATGTGGCTTTTTGCTACTGCAGAAGCTCTAGAACTTTCCGATGAGGCTCTGCGCAGGCATGGATCACCCAGGGTGTGATTCCCCTATATCCCCCTTTACCTTCTGTATCCCCTACCTTCTCCTAAATTGTTAATAAATAAATAAATAAATAAATAAATAAATAAATAAATAAATAAATAAATAAATAAATAGAAGCAGAACTATGAGGCTCTCAACACGCTGGTTGAAAGAAACTGAAAGGGAAGCTTTAGTGCCAAGGTACTTATATGACGGGGGAGGGGCCTTATTCTAATGTGGCTTTTTGCTACTGCAGAAGCTCTAGAACTTTCCGATGAGGCTCTGCGCAGGCATGGATCACCCAGGGTGTGATTCTCAGAGGCCACGAAGAAGAACCAATGTGCGCAATAATCCAACAGGCTCATGGGTTAAAAAAAATCACAGAAGACAGACCAGGAGGCAAATGTAATATTACTTTGGAGTGAACTTTAAAAAGGCTTGGGAGAACAAACAGATCTTAAGTTGCCTCCTGAAACTGAGGAGGGAAGGGGCTAGCCACACCTCTTGCGGCCGATTGTGGGTGGAAGACCTCCGGGCCTCCCCCTGGGTGGCTATGTGGAATATTCCCATTTAAGAGGTGCGGGTGGGATGGGTAAATGTTTTCAGGGAGAGGCACTTAGACAGATAACAAGGTACTAAACTGTTGAAGGCTTTAAAAACTATCATAGGCATCTTGAATTTGGCCCAGAAGCATACAGGCAGCTAGTGCAGACAGGCCAGGCCAAGACGTATATGGTCATATTGAAAAGTTCCAGAGACCAACCTGACAGCAGCTGCTGAATCACCTTCAGGGGCAGCCCCATATAGATGTTGTAATAGTCTATTTTTGAGATTACAAGCACTTGGACCAGTGTAGTGAGGGATTTCCTGTTGAGAAAGGGGTGGAAGTGTGCAGTCCACTTCAGCTGGTAAAAGCCAGACTTGGCCAGAGCCAAGATCTGATATGCCATTGTGAGGGCCGGGTTCAACAGCACACCAAGATTTCACACCTGATCCTTCGGGGGAAGAGTGCCCCTGTCAACACCAGGCAGACAGCCACCAAGTCAATCAGAAGACCCTCTCAACAATAGGACCTCGGTCTTGTCAGGATTCAATTTCAACCTGTTAGCCCTTGTCCAATCCATA